TTCTCCCATTCCCTCCCTCCCTCCCTGTCACTCATCCATTCATACATTCATTTGAATCAAATCAAATTAGATTGTATTATTTTATGTACTTCAGAAGCACAGCTTTAAATTAATCATAGCCCTTGTGCATGAAGCCCTCCCTTCCCAAATCCTGTTGATTCATATATAATTTGTATTCCTCATTCCTTTCTTTTGTATTTCTCCCCAAATTTCCTCTTTCTCCCTTTCTGACTCTTCCTTACATTTTCATTCTTATAAATTCAGGTGCACAGGACGCACCAGGGTCCCACAAGCAACCTCCCCACCCCTGGTCCATGCAGCTCATTTCTCAGTCAGTCAGTCACTCGTTCACTCATTCTTTCACTCGTTCATTCATTTATCCTTTCTTTCTAATTTTGGGGGTTCTTTTACTTACTAGATCTCCTGTGAAATAATCGTATTAGTCAAAACCTCCACGTGCAAAATGAACCTCACTGGCCCATGTATTTATTTTTATTTGCAATCTTTCTTCCCTGCATTTAGTCACCTTTTACATTCAGTATTTATTCTTTTATTTATGGACCTCGATTGCATATATTTTATTGCAGTGCTCGTTTGGGGGCCGGTATTTCCTCAATTTTTCATTTATTCTTTGAAAGGTGTAATGTATTTATCTATTTAAGGTGTATGCATGTAAACCAATTATAATCCCTGTTCAGACAACCTCTTAACTAGCCATTTATCACTTTTGTTGTTTGTTTATTACCTTTCCTTTTGCCTTTTTTGCCTTTTTTTTTTAATTCTCATTTTCCCTTGCCCTGGATATGGGATTAGATGATCTCATCCATCTTTGCGACTAATGATGACCCCGTTACCAACCCCAGCAGGCTTTTCTGTTTTACACACACCCACGGTACCATTCAATGGGGTTGTTTGGAGGCTTTGTTTCCTTCCCTTTTACTTAGTTTCAATTTGCCTTTTCTCATCTTTAACTCAAATGCTTTTTCTCTGGCATCTGTTCCCATTTAGGGACTGTAGGTGCCTGGAGTGACATGAGGGCCATCCCATGGGCAGCACTGCCCTGGCTGGTGCGGGCACTGCCGTTTCTAAGGCGGCCGCTCACATATCTGTTCACCCTTCCTGTCACTCCTTTGCTTCAGTATTTCCGTTTTATTTTCAGACCTCAGGTGCACAGAACTGGATTAACCATAATGTGTGGTTCGCAGAGCTTCTCAGCACCTGTCCATGGGACACCCTTTGGCTTGTTCATTTCTTGTACCGGTGCTTTGCTTTAGGGTTTATTTAACGGCATCAAGAGCCCAGTTTTCAATCAGTCATAATTTTGGGGGAGATGTTGTCTCTCTTCTGTTCTAGCATGGCCCTCTCTATCATATATTCATGTATATTTATTCGCTTAGTGTTTTTATTGCTTATATCCATCTTGTCATAATTTTCTGTGCTCCCCCACTCTCCTTGCTTTCTCTGTTGCATTACTCTATCCTTCTGAGCCTTGGTACAGAAGTGAATTCACAGAAATAATCATTCCTCACTCATCCGTTCACTCACTCATTCCCACAGCCATTCCTGTTAATTCCTTCTTTCTTTTTAGCCACGTGGACTTTTTTACTGCGGAACCTCACGTTTTACCACGAATTATGTTTCGTGAATAATACCTGTTCATTATATTTAAGTACTTATCCAGTAAGTACCTTTTCCTATATTCTCTTGTAGTATCTTTCTTTCTCCCAGTGTCTCCTTCTATTTTTCAAACTCGTTTCTTTTTCATGGAACACACCCATTTATTCTCTCACTCTTTAGTGTATGGTATTGTTTTTATTATTTATAAACTTCAGGGCCACAGATTTGAGTTAATGCGTATGATCAGTGCTAAACCAGTCCCCTCAAATACATATATTATCATCATTTTTCTTCCTTTTATTTATGTTGATTCCCCTGCCCCCCCATTTTAATTCGTTTTTCTACCATCCTTTCAATCTTTCTTCTGGCTTTTCTTTTGGAGACCAAGCACCAGGGTTTGGCTCAACCCTAACTCCCTCTACAACGCCCCCACCCCCCCCATCAGTCAATGCAAATCGTTCCCCTGTTTCTTTCCTGCATTCATGCATCCATTCAGTCTTTCTACTTAAATCATTGTCTTTTCACTTCTAGATGGCAGGTGCACCGAATTGGATACATGATAATCTATAGACAATGTGTCCCCCCCTCCCTAGCCCCACGGGGGTCCCTCCCTTACATGTGCCATCTTTGAACTTTTTCCTGGGTGGGTGGCTGCCCAAGTCAGAAGCACAATTTGGATTAATCAGAGCGCTTGCAAGGTTCATGCTCCCTCACTCTTGTGCCCAGAACTGCTCTCTTATATGTCTATTTATTTGTCAGTTATCTAATCACCTTCCTTCTTTTTAGGTGCCTTTTACATCTTTCCAGTGTCCGCTCTTTCTCCCCTTCCCTGTCTCATTCCTTCTTTCCTGCAGCCTTGCACTCTTAGAGCGCAGCTGCGTGGAGGGACGCCTCCCACGGCCGCCTGCAGACACCCACCGCGCCCCACAGCGCCAGTCCCGCTAATTCCTTCCCGCACCCTGGCTTCCTCCATTGAGCCATTCGTCCTGTTTCTTTTCTTTTTATTGGGTATTTTACTCCTTTGTCAGTGAACAGAGTGCTCAGATTCGGACCAGTTATGAGCCACCGTTCGTGAGGGCCCCTCATTGTCCGTCCTAGCCTAGCCCTCTCCCGAGGATCTACCCATGTATGACGTTCGTCATTGTGACTTTGCCTCCTTCCTGCCTCTGTTTCGTTACAGCTTTTGGAACCCCCTCCTCACCTTCTTTCATTCTCAGAGCGCTTCTGCCGGGGGGAGGGGATTCAGGACACCCCCCAACCGCTCATCAGGAGTGCTGGGGCAAGCCCCCCACGCCCGCCATCCACCTTTGCTTCCTCCCTCTCCTCTCCTTGCGCATTCAGAGGCTTACTATTTTTCACTATTTTATCAACAGTACTGTGGTTCTAGACTTGGGCCCCCCAACCCTTGATCCGTGTCAGTCTTCTACCGCATCTCCTTCCAGCATCAACGCACCGTCAACGCGCTTCTCCCCCTAACCCCGGCTCCTCCTGCCCGTTTCGGGATTCGGAGTTGGACATGTAACTTATTCTCTCGTTCTGTCACTGTTCCCGTGACAGACTCACTACCCCACGGCCGACTCCAGGCCCCGCGCACCAGGCTCCCCCCCACCCTGGTGCGGGGGCCTCTCTGCTCCCTCAGCCATCCCATTCCCCTCTTCTCTCTGGCTTTCTCTCATTTCGGTATTTACTTATTTGTGTGCACCCAGACTTTAAGAAAACTTTTGGTTCAGGTTAACTCTCGTCTTTGGTCCCCCGAATCGTCTTTCCTCTTTAACTCTTAACTGTCCCAGTTGTTTATCTTTCTGCGCCAGGAGCACGCACTGAATTAATCCCTACGCTTGGTTTATAATAACCAAAGCCCGCCTTCTCTATTTACTCATAGCCTCATTTTTAAAAATTACCCTTCTCCTTTTCATTTATAATTTTGCTTCCCGCCGCCCACCCCCTCCCGGCGCCTTCCCATCTGGACGGGCCTCGGGGACTCCTCCTCATGGGTGTGGGGGTTTTTCTACACGAACTTTCTTTTTCTTTTTTTTAATTTTTCTCTTTCTGACAAAAAGCGATACATAATTAACGTCCGCATGGACATCACCAGAATCTATGATTCTGTGAAACCATCACCAGAATCTGCAGCATGAACCTGCCCGTGGCCTTGAAAAGCCTCCTGCCGCCCTCTCATGACTTGTCACCACCCCCGGGGCCGCCCCACGACACCTGCCCGCTTAGCAAGGTTTTACACACACAGCGCCCACGGCGAGTGCCGTCGCGGCGTTCACGTGGCGCCCTCCTTTTCGTGGCTTTCACCCTTTTGTTGACCACCATCAGGTGCTCTGTATTCGAACGACACCTAGTCCTTGGTCGCGGCGACCTGATACTCGTTCGTGTGTGGCCTTATTTACATATCGATTCAGTATTTTTTATTGACTTATACATTGATCTCCTGTACATCGAACATCGAACCGGCTCCTGTTCAGTGCACACGCTCCTCCTGGCTCACTCACCTCTTTACCTGTTTGCTTGTGTATCCGTCGAACCGATAAAATCGCCGCATCTTAGACTTTCCTTTCCCCTCCCACCAAGTTAACCCCGAGACCAAGGTGTGCACAACCCACAGTCCTTAACGCAGGCACTTGGCAGGTGCGGGCACCTCCCCTGGACCCTGTGAGTGGCCACCCCCATGAGAAAGCAGCTCCAGGACCTGGGAGGACCCCCGCACACGTCCTGCACGGTCTCCCCGGTGGGAAAAGGCGGATATGGGTTCATTTTTAAATAGAAAGCTTTGTTTGTGGCGGTATAAAAATATTTTGGCCTTTCAAAGCAAATACAAAAGGAACGACCCATTACCATCGCTGAGTGTCTCGGTCCCCAACAATAGGGGACTTGAAGAGGTTCAGCCGGACCCCATGAAGACAGAAAATCTGCCCATTCTGTTTTCCAGACATTTCAAGGGGGTGAGGAGGTCACTGGAGCTGGCGGCCCATTGAAAGGCAGGTCCCTCAGCCCGAGTTCTTGCGGTGGCCTATGAAGGGCCCCCAGCTCACAAGGGCACTTCCATCCAAGTCTGCCCTGCGGCACTGGAGCCAGAGGGACACTCGATGATGAAAGGGCCATTCATTTAGAGTGAAAGGAATTCTTTCGGGGTCCGGCACTCCAAGCCGCCTATAGAATTCTTTGCCACAACACAAGGAGGCTGGAGGTCCTGCCTTAGAAATGAGCCCCCCAGGTCCTCACTTGAGCTGGCTTGTCGGGCGCCCACCTCCCCATGAGTGAACCAGTGCTCCCCAAGCCCTCCTACAAGGCTCGCCAGGCAGTGTGCTTTGAGTGGCGGCCCCCACCCTCAATGACAAGGCCACAGGTGTGTGTCCCGCTCTCCAGGAACTTACGATTTTACAGGTGCAGGGTGCTGGGGTCGCGTGTCGAAGGTCCCATCCCACGGAGGATTCCTGATGACGACTTCGGCTGGAACAACAAAGTGCTGGTCACTGAAGGGAACCTCACCCAACTGGACAAAGCAGGGACTCCCCAACTTCTAGCTAGTGTGGCACTGGTGAAACCAATAGTCTCTCCAATACACTAGGTCACACACTCACTTCCTGCCCAGCTCCCCGCCCCACAGATGGGGTGGATGGGGGCCGGGAGCAGCTACGCATGGGGCTAAGTGTTGTTTTGTGAAACCCAAAAGTTTAGGGCCATTGCACAAGCAGAGCGGAGCTAGATCCCGAAAGCATGGACAGGATGCTCCCTGGAAGGGTGTTCACCTGGCAGGAAGGGCACAGTGTCATCAGGGTGTGTTCAGGGAGGCAACAGTGCAGCATGGTAGGGGCGTGAGCAGCAGGGCAGTGAGCCCTGCACAAGGCAGAGAAGTGGGCTCTGGGCCACGCTAAGGGTCGTGCAGTTTGTAATGAGCAGTGTCCCCTAAAGCCATGGCACACAGGTCACGGGATGAGAGATGATGGCGCCTGGGGAGACAACTCCCTTTAGCAACGATGTACACATTGTAATCGGCGCCATGAAAAGCCCTGACCAGGCATATCAAGCCTTTGACTTCAAGCATTGACCTTCAACTTGGAGTTTAAAAAAGTGAGCTGAGTAATCGCAGGTACATGTCATTACAGGGGTCCTTTGGTATCCGTGGGGAGCTTGGTTCCAGGACCCCCCTCGGATACCAAAACCCAAAGGTGCTTCGGCCCCTCACATAAAGTGGGGAAGTGGTGGCGTGTGACCCACACACCCTCCCCTAGACTCCGCATCCCCTCCGGGTTGCTCGGAGCGCCTGACAGTGTGAAGGCTGTGTGCGTGCTTGTTGCACTGGATTGCGCAGGGGAAGGACAGCAGGAAAAAAGCCTGTACCGTGTTCGATGCAGACGCAGCCGGCAGCCACGCAGGCCTAACGCAGTGCCCGCTGTCGGCAGCAACGGGAGTTTTTCCCCAAATACTTTCAATCCATAGGTTGAATTCATGGGTGTGGATCCCGTGGATACAGAGAGTGAGTTTTAAGGACTGAGCCAGGCTAATGCAAGGGAAACGGGTAGGGTATGGGATTTCTCTGGATCTACCGTTCACTTTTTCTATAAACATAAAAACTGCCCAGAAAAAAATAGTCTATTCATCAAAACAATGTTTAAGTGTGTCGATTTTTAGTCTAATGAAGGTAAGCAGGCGAGGCCAACAGGTGATCTGCAACGGCTAAGGTTTGAGCAGGAAGGTGGGTGAGAGAGGAGCGAGCGTGAGATCGGGGCAAGGGTGAGAGGGCGCAGGCGGCCCCGGGCCTCCAGAGAACCCAAGGAAGAGGCTCCCCCCACAGCCCTGCCCTGCTGTAAGGCACTGGGACACCCCTGCTGCCTTTGCCCCTCTATTACCCGTTGCGTCATTTGCTGGGGCTCGCAAGACCTGGACAGGACACCGGGGACACACCTTTTACTTCCAAATCTTCAAAACTCCTTCCTTGTCTTTGAGCTTCCCAAACACTGGCTTCCCCTAACTGGTTGCTTTTTTATCCAAAAATAATAAAAAAGGTCTTTTTTAGAAAGTGCTGATTAAGCAGTTACACCCCTTGGGTGACCAAGGGCGGACTTTGGTTGTCTAAGGGCTCTGGGACTTCCATTTTGTGCTGGATACCACCCGAGATGTGCCTGACCCTTCCCAGGTGCTTGTGAGCACCTGCGGTGGCCCTCCCGTCATCAACAGGTCCTAAGGTGACAAAGGGACCCCAGAACCTGAAACTGCAGCAAGACCAACCCTGGACATTGCCACNTTGTGAGCACCTGCGGTGGCCCTCCCGTCATCCGCAAGGTCCTAAGGTGACAAAGGGACCCCAGAACCTGAAACTGCAGCAAGACCAACCCTGGACATTGCCACTTCCCCGAGGACTAGGGGCCAGGAAAGCACTTTGGGGGTTTTCTTCTGGCTGGGTCTCTCTGGTATTTCAATGAGACCTGCTTCTGCTCCGGGGGCCCTGTGAACCCTCAGATTTCCTGCAGCCCTTGATTAACTTCCATGCAGACCCCAGGATGCTCTGTGAAGACCCCAGGATGCTCTGTGAGGCACAGCCCTGGGTTTGCCAAGCAATAACCTTAACAAATGTCAGAGAAGCTGCAAAGATTGAGTCACTGGAACCGAAGGAAAACATGAGGCCTCCTTACAGAGTCCACAAACAAGGTCTTGGAGACCTCACAGATGCGTGCACGGGGCTCCTGATTCACGCAGGAGCACCGTGGACCCACTGGCTGCATCCTCCAAACCTGACAGGATTAGAACATTCTAGTTCAGCAGCCCTAGAGTGCTACAGTCACTCTTTCCTGGAGGCAAACAGGCTCTAAGTGATCTGCCCTGTCTCTGGGACAAGAAACTGGATATTTAGAGCAGTGAAGACATTAAAAAGATTATTTTTAATAGAACGACGATTTCCAGAAATCAAGCCTGCAGTTTACACAATCGGCCTCGCCTGCTTCCTACCTGTTGAGTCAAGACCACCCTCCTGCAACCTCCCTCCAAAGGCAGGTCTTTGCAGAGCTCATTTCCTGTACCTTTGTGAGGGCTGGGGCCCCGGGCATTGTGGGCCCATTTATGAAAATAGGAGAGCTAATTGGGACATCTTTTGAAATCCTGGCCCCCTCTT